AAAAAAAAAAAAAAAAAAAAAAAAAAGTCTGTTTGGATATTTACAGTGCAGAAACATCACTTAAGACGGCTGACGTATGAACCCCTTCAGACAGGTACCAGCTGCAGGATTGGATCCTGCACTCATTAGCTTGAGAGGAATAAACTACAGGATACTACGTGTAGCAAAGCGGCCGTAAGGTGAAACCTTCTCAGAAACTACAGATCTTCCCTGACTCGCCTAAAACCTGCAAATGGGGATATAAATATTACAGACCTGATAACTAGCTGCAATAATTTTTTATTTTTTTTTTTCCCAGGGAAACTCAGGGTTTCTACCATCCCCTCCTTGCTGTTAAAACTATCGGTTTATATATCAGGAGCGATGATTTAACTGAGCACGGCCAAGGAAAGCAGTCCCGTTTCCTCGTATCCTCTGGCCCTCTACATTGTTGGGAGTATTTCTTTGCACAGCTCCGTGCGGGTTGGTTACGCAAAGACATAGGTAAAAGCTTTCCATAAAATTTAAAAAAAAAAAAAAAAAAAAAAAAATAGGGCTGGGCTTCCCTTTTTTTTAGTGGAAAAGAAAGCCAGCGTGCTGCCCCAGCTGCATTTATTAGACTGAAACATCCTCATAAATGTTCTGGTGCATTTTTGCAAACCCCCCCCCCCCATCCGAAACCCGTGGGAATTTCGCTGTTGACTTCAAATGAGCCGGAGATTAACTCCCAACCACAGACCTTTAATTTTCCCTGAAGAATCGCCACTCTCTTCGTTATTACTCTACAGCCTGAGTCAACTAATTGCACGGTTCGTTTCGGTCCCATTGACTAGTGATTTTTCACTTTCTACCCATTACAAACCAAAGGACCTCATGGGGGAACGGGGTTCGATACGTCAGCCGTTGCTCTGCCGTTGTGTTTATGAGAAGAAAACAGCAAGCCTGCCCCCACCCGCCACCCTCCCCCAGCCTTCAAGATGCATTTGCAGAACACCCCGACGAGACACGTGCGGAGCGTCAGGACAAGAGACCCAGAGTGATTTTTGCCTCATGGAGGTAATACATGGAGCGGGGCACGGTCTTCGCATCTCCCCTGCCATGGGCGCGAGGGCAAACATCGCCGGCACCCGAGGAACAGAGAGAGCCTGGAAGGGGATCACACCCTGCCCACACGCTGCCGGTGCCTCTGTCCTTTGCCCATGGGGCCATTCAGGGATCCTACAGGAAAGGGAAGAAAACCCAGGGGGGAGTTCACCCAGGACCACCCCAAAGCCCTGCCGAGGCTGACATCCCTCCCTGCCAGCCCCCACTTCCCCACCACCCACCCTGCAATACTTCTGCTTTACACTAAGCTTGTGCCCGATACTCTTGTGCAATTTTATCGGAGTTATTGGAGCTGATTAAATAGTCTCTGGGTCCCTGCGGAGCTGGAGCTTCAGCTCCCGGCTCCATCCCATCCTCCCCGATAGATTAGGCTTGCTGGGACAACGGCAAGGGTTTATCAGGCAGACCTGGGGAGCCGTGCACCACCTCGGGTTGACACCAGTCCCAAAGGAAGGATCTGTCCCTGCCTAAGGAGGCAATGCAAATGCTGCCCGGGAGCTTCACCTGCTTGCTGCAACCCCTGAGCTCTCCCTTACCTCCTCGTCTCTGTGCCCCAGGAGCAGCGGCAGCCGCCCTTCAGTACACGCAGGGTTTGGCAGAGCCCCTCTCCTTCTTGTTCATGGGCTCGGTGTCCGAATCCGGCGGGCTGGTGATGTATCTGTACTTGCTGGTGGATGACCTCTGGGAGGACAGGAGCCCATCAGACCTTCCCAAAGGGGCAAGGTGACGGAGCGAGGGCTGGGTCCCTTTATTACAAGGACAATGCAACAAAAAAGGGTAGTCCCAGCCAGCAGCGGAGGCCGCACAGGGTCCAATGCTAAGGTTTCGTAGTGTGGTATCACACTTGGGTTTGACCAGGGAGGAAATGGAGGCACAGCAGCACCAAGGACCCTTTGCTCCCCCTCAACCTCCCTTTCCCTGCAGGAAAATGGGAACAATGAGGCCGGGAGGGGTGCACAGGAGCTTTGCTTCCTTGCAATACAAACCCACGATGCTCAGCCCCAGGAAAATCAACGATCAGAGAGATCCAGTTCCAACCCTGGATGTGGGGTGTGTGTTGCAAAGACCCTCCATCACCCCTGAAATACCACCCCAGCACCCTTCCCACCCATCTTCGCACCCCCGAGTCCATACAGTTACCTTGACAGGAGCAAACTCCTGCTGGATCAGCTTCTTGAACTCGCTTCTGCTGAACGACTCCGATTTCTTCCCCTTCCTGGCACTGCCCTGGTAACTCTCCATCATGTCAGTGATGGCTTTAATGAACTTAGACATGTCTCCAGTCCTGGAGAGGAGCGTAACACAGCAAGGTGGCCAGGGCAGCTCTGCCCTCAGGAAAACCCCCACGTTCCCTTCCAACACCTCAAAACATATTCGGTTCAGCTTCAGCCTTTCTAGATTTCTTTGCCAGGGGTAAAAAGAAACCTCCCTTTGCTGGATGCTGAGAGCTGGACTGCTCACCACGCTGGCTACTCGGGACTTTCACCTCAATTCACTTCATTTCTCCACTTGCCCACTCCCTGCTTAAATTAAAAGGACGAAGCTCCCTGTAGCAATCCCAGGCACTTGTCGGGTTGAATGAATCAGCTTTTGCAGCTACGGAAAGCGCCGTGTCTACACACCCGCCTCGCTCGGGGCTGGGCAGAGGGAATCCAGGCGGCTAATCCTGGGCTTGTGTCTTTTAGTCCCTGCCGCCCCGAGCCCTGCTGGGAAGGACTGTGTTGCAAAATGACCCTGAGAACATAAAAGCTCATTTCAAGTACAAAAAAAAAAAAAAAAAAAAAAAAAAAAA